GTTGTTTTGTTATCTTTGGTGTCAGTCTGGTATCAACCCTGAGCTAGACCTCGACCTTGCTCCAGGATTCCAATTTTGTATCCTCCCCCCTTCCCAGCTCTCCTCTGTGCACAAATCCCCCCACACACAATTTCTCTGCTCTCCTCTCTGTACAAATTCCCCCCTCTTTCCCAGCTCCCAGCTCTCCTCTGTGCATGAATCCCCCCCCACATATTTTCTCTCCACACGAATCCTCCCCACTTTTCCCAGCTCTCCTCTCTGCACAAATCACCCCCCACACACACACACCTTCCCAACTCTCCCCCCTGCACGTATCCCCCCACACACACTTTCCTAGCTCTCCTTCTTGCATAAATCCCTCCTGCCCACTTTCCCAACTCTCCTCTCTGCACAAATCCCTCCCGCCCCCACCATTTTCCAACTCTCCTCTCTGCACAAATACCCCCCACCATTTTCCAGTTCCCCTATCTGTACAAATCCCACCCCCCACCATTTTCCAGTTCTCCTTTCTGCACAAATCCCCCCCACACTTTTCCAACTCTCCTCTCTGCACAAATCCCCCCACCATTTTTCAGTTCTCCTCTCTGCACAAATCCCCCCCACACTTTTCCAACTCTCCTCTCTGCACAAATCCCCCCACCATTTTCCAGTTCTCCTATCTGCACAAATCCCCCCCCCCCACCATTTTCCAGTTCTCGTATTTGCACAAATCCCACCCCCCACCCATTTTCCAGTTCTCCTATCTGTACAATTCCCACCCCCCACCATTTTCCAGTTCTCCTCTCTGCACAAATCCCCCCACACTTTTCCAACTCTCCTCTCTGCACAAATCCCCCCACCATTTTCCAGTTCTCCTATCTGCACAAATCCCCCCCACACTTTTCCAACTCTCCTCTCTGCACAAAATCCCCCCACCATTTTCCAGTTCTCCTATCTGCACAAATCCCCCCCACACTTTTCCAACTCTCCTCTCTGCACAAATCCCCCCCACCATTTTCCAGTCCTCCTATCTGCACAAATCCCACCCCCACCATTTTCCAGTTCTCGTATTTGCACAAATCCCACCCCCCACCATTTTCCAGTTCTCCTATCTGCACAAATCCCACCCCCACCATTTTCCAGTTCTCTCTGCACAAATCCCCCCTCCCATTTTCCAGTTCTCCTATCTGCACAAATCCCACCCCCACCATTTTCCAGTTCTCCTCTCTGCACAAATCCCCCCTCCCATTTTCCCAACTCTCCTTTCTGTGCAAATATCCCCCCCACACACACACGCACATAATTTTCCAGTTCTCCTCTCTGCACAAATCCGTCCTCCCAGAAAGAAAGGCAAGTTGGATATTTGGCGCACTCCGAGACGGAGTAGAAAGGTGGATGCGACATACAATTTCATCATGGTGTATGTATAAACATCTAAATTAATGGTAATGGAATTAGGGAAGATAAGTCATAAACAGTATACCGTAATAAATATACAAATACACAAATAATATGTCCTTAGGGAGAGTCCTATAGGAAGTTCTGATGCACCATGGGGTGGAGGCAGCTGGCCAATGACAGCCGTCTGAGGGAGCATGCATCCTCCGAACGCGCGGCAACCCTCACCATCACGTGATGGGAAGTAACGTCTTGACTGAGGGAATCCCGGAACTAGGAGAACATGCTGGAAGCCACCAGCACCACCACCAGACGCTGGTGACTCCTATCCATCTAGAGACTCCACACTCCTTAGCAACAACGATACTTAGTCTTTTACAAGCGCAAACCTACAAATGCTTTGTGAGTGGCCTGTATTATCATACATTTTATCCATTTAAAACCTTTCATACTGCACTTAGACTGCGCCACCTCTTTCAAATCCCTCCCCCCCCGCCCACTTTCCAAACTCTCCTCTCTGCACAAATCCCCCCCTCCACTTTTCCAACTCTCCTCTCTGCACAAATCACCCCCCCCCACCACCATTTTCCAGTTCTCCTCTCTGCACAAATCCCTCCCACCCACTTTCCATACTCTCCTCTCTGCATAAATCCCACCCCCCCACCATTTTCCAGTTCTCCTCTCTGCACAAATCCCTCCCACCCACTTTCCAAACTCTCCTCTCTGCACAAATCCCACCCCCCCACCATTTTCCAGTTCTCCTCTCTGCACAAATCCCTCCCACCCACTTTCCAAACTCTCCTCTCTGTACAAATCCCCCCCTCCACTTTTCCAACTCTCATCTCTGCACAAATCCCACCCCCCACAATTTTCCAGTTCTTCTCTCTGCACAAATCCCTCTCACCCACTTTCCCAACTCTCCTCTCTACACAAAGCCCCCCCCCCTTCCCCCCACCACCATTTTCCTGTTCTCCTCTCTGCACAAATCCCTCCCACCCACGTTTCCAATTCTCCTCTCTGCATGAATCCCTCCCACCCACTTTCTTAATTCTCCTCCTTGCATAAATTGTTGCTGGAGTGGAGTCTGTTATTGGGGGAGCTATTGTTCCTGGGGTCCATTGTTGCTGGGGAGTCGATTGTTGTGTAGGGGATCTATTGTTGCTGGGTGGGGTCTATTGTTTCTGGCTGCGGGGTATCTAATTTATTGTTTTTCTTATCATTAACAAATTACTGTGGGAGTTTCTGCACCTATTCTCTGAGAAAAAAAGCCCTGGTGATCAGGCTTTGGTAAGTATTAGGGGGAGCTGCGGAGGGAGCTGCATAGTGAAGGTTTTTTTACCTTCATGTATAGAATGAATGAAGGTAAAAATACTTCAACCTTTAGTACCACTTTAAAAAATATGTTACCACAACATTTCATATTCCTTATATGTGCCTGCTGCATGTACTTGTGTTAAAAAGTATCCTGTTCTCTTTATATTTCTTCTTTTGTATGAAATCCCTGGTGTTCCTGCCAGTCCTTCTGATTTCCTATTTCAAACTGACCACACTAGGCATGGCAGCACATCCATCCCAGCATGGTCAGTTTTTTGACTGTGCTGAGAGAACTGCCTGCCTGTCCTCCAATGGAAAGACTTGTGATTACATGCCCCCCCCTGCACAGCAATTCACTGGAAAGATCAGTGTACTGCTGTTTCTCCTCCCTCGGCTCTCCAAATCCATTATGCAGCTGAAATTATGCGTATTATTACAAAAGTGTTAAATTATACTTGTTATTATTATTATTATTTAATAATAATAAATATTAAAAAGTAATGAGAATGTTTTTTACAGCTGTATATACACAAAATGTTTTGCCTTTCTTTTCTATTTTAAACTCAATGGGTTGAGTTGTGACTACAGTTGGAATTGTTCTTTTATGGTATGTTTTCTTTTGAGCGGGGGAATGCCCAAAGGCTCTGTTTTGTAGACTATTTTTCTAAAACCAATAAAAACAATTTTGGAAAAAAAAAACTGAATGGGTTGTTTTACAAGTTGAGGGTTTACATATACTTCTAAGTAAGAAGAAACCTTGGGGGCAAGGATGCAGCAAAGGGTTTTATTTATTCCCTGCTCTATGTGATACCAAAAAATATGTTGGGCTGAATAAATAATTCTATTAACCGCTTGCCTGCCACCCTATAGCAGAAATACTGCTACAGGGCGACAGGGCTGCGCAAAATCACATATATATATATATATATATATATGCATGATTTTGCATTTCCCAAGGCTTTAAATTACGCTTTTTAATAACCCTGGTGACGTTAGCTGTGTAAAGTCTTTTTTTTTTTTTTCGCGTTTACGGTTTTTAGCTTTTTATAAGAGTTTTTTTTTTTTAAAGTTTTTTTGGGTCACAAAAAGTCCAAAAGTGCTGACTTGCCACGGTTTACTGCGTTTTGCCGCATTTTTCAGCGTTAGAGCTTTTTTACAGCGGAAAAACTCCTCAAGAAACCCACTAGTTCTGGGTATTTTTTACAGCCAAAAACCGTCCCAGCCAAAAACATTGATTACGGTCTATGTGTGTATGGACACATAGGATAACATGCCGGGGATGGACACATAGGATAACATGCCGTGGATGGACACATAGTATAACATGCTGGGGATGGACACATAGGATAACATGCCGGGGATGGACACATAGGATAACATGCTGGGGATGGACACATAGGATAACATGCTGGGGATGGACACATAGGATAACATGCCGGGGATGGACACATAGGAGAACATGCCGGGGATGGACAAATAGGATGATGGACACATAGGATAACATGCTGGGGATGGACACATAGGATAACATGCTGGGGATGGACACATAGGATAACATGCCGGGGATGGACACATAGGAGAACATGCTGGGGATGGACAATAGGATAACATGCCGGGGATGGACACATAGGATAACATGCCGGGGATGGACACATAGGAGAACATGCCGGGGATGGACACATAGGAGAACATGCCGGGGATGGACACATAGGAGAACATGCCGGGGATGGACATGGAGAACATGCCGGGGATGGACACATAGGAGAACATGCCGGGGATGGACACATAGGATAACATGCATGGGGATGGACACATAGGATAACATGCCGGGGATGGACACATAGGAAACATGCCGGGGATGCCGGGGATGGACACATAGGATAACATGCCGGGGATGGACACATAGGATAACATGCCGGGGATGGACACATAGGATAACATGCGGGGATGGACACACATAGGACACATAGGATAACATGCCGGGGATGGACACATAGGATAACATGCCGGGGATGGACACATAGGATAACATGCCGGGGATGGACACATAGGATAACATGCCGGGGATGGACACATAGGATAACATGCCGGGGATGGACACATAGGATAACATGCGGGGGGATGGACACATAGGATAACATGCCGGGGATGGACACATGCCGGGGGGATAACATGCCGGGGATGGACACATAGGATAACATGCCGGGGATGGACACATAGGATAACATGCCGGGGATGGACACATAGGATAACATGCCGGGGATGGACACATAGGATAACATGCCGGGGGATGGACACATAGGATAACATGCCGGGGATGGACACATAGGAGAACATGCCGGGGATGGACACATAGGATAACATGCCGGGGATGGACACATAGGATAACATGCCGGGGATGGACACATAGGATAACATGCCGGGGATGGACACATAGGATAACATGCCGGGGATGGACACATAGGATAACATGCCGGGGATGGACACATGCCGGGGATGGAACATGAACCGGGGATGGACACATAGGAGAACATGCCGGGGATGGACACATAGGATAACATGCCGGGGATGGACACATAGGAGAACATGCCGGGGATGGACACATAGGATAACATGCCGGGGATGGACACATGGATAACATGCCGGGGATGGACACATAGGATAACATGCCGGGGATGGACACATAGGATAACATGCCGGGGGATGGACACATGGGAGAACATGCCGGGGATGGACACACAGGATAACATGCCGGGGATGGACACATAGGAGAACATGCCGGGGATGGACACATAGGATAACATGCCGGGGATGGACACATAGGGATAACATGCCGGGGATGGACACATGGGATAACATGCCGGGGATGGACACACATGGGATAACATGCCGGGGATGGACACATAGGAGAACATGCCGGGGATGGACACATGGGATAACATGCCGGGGATGGACACATAGGAGAACATGCGGGGATGGACACATAGGATAACATGCCGGGGATGGACACATAGGATAACATGCCGGGGATGGACACACGGGATAACATGCCGGGGATGGACACATAGGATAACATGCCGGGGATGGACACATAGGAGAACATGCCGGGGATGGACACATAGGATAACATGCCGGGGATGGACACATAGGGATAACATGCCGGGGATGGACACATGGGATAACATGCCGGGGATGGACACATAGGGACACAACATGCCGGGGATGGACACACATGGGATAACATGCCGGGGATGGACACATGGGATAACATGCCGGGGATGGACACATAGGATAACATGCCGGGGATGGACACATGGGATAACATGCCGGGGATGGACACATAGGATAACATGCCGGGGATGGACACATGGGATAACATGCCGGGGATGGACACATGGGATAACATGCTGCTGGGGGGGTTACTGGCAGTAGAAAAAAACATCAAATGCCAAAAAAACAGCCGCTGTAAAAACGGGACATGTGCGTGAGGACTAATGGCGCGGCGCCATTAGTGGCTACAGATGTCGATCACCGGGTCCAGGCCAGTAATTTCCAGATGGCACCCGGCAATTGCCAAGTATCACTGATGGGGGAGAGGTCTGCATTTAGACAATACAGATCTCTCCCCTGTCAGCTCCTGCACACTGCTTTGTATTGCTCTGCATAGTAGACCAATACAGAGCAGTGTGCTTACACAGTACAACACACACAGACAATACAGTAAAACAGCACACAGTTAACCCTTTGGTCGCCCCACATGTTAACCCCTTCCTGCCCAACGCCATTAGTACAGTGTTAGTGCTTTTTATTAGCACTGATCCCTGTATTGGTGTCACTGGGGATGTCAATGACACCAAGTCAGTTCCCCCCAGAGTCAGAATGCCCGCCGCAGTCCCGCTATAAGTCACTGATCACCGCCATTACTAGTATATAAAAAAAAAATTCCAGTATATATACCACCATTTGTAAATACTATAACTTTCACGTAAACAAATTAATTTACACATGTTGGGATTTTTTTTTAGCAAAGACACGGAGCAGAATACATTTTGGCCTAAATTTATGACAAAATTAGATTTTTTAAAAAAATTTTTTTGTCGGTCTCCTATTCTTTATAGCGCCAAAAAAAAAATGCAAAGGCAATCAAATACCACCGAAAGAAAGCTCAATTTGTGGGAAAAAAAGGACATACATTTCATTTGGGTGCAGCGTTGCATGACCGCGTAATTGTCAGTTAAAGTAACGCAGCGCCGTATCACAAAAAATGGCCTGGTCAGGAAGGATGGGGGGGGGGGGGGGGAATCCTCTGGAAGGCAAGTGGTTAAAAAGTGACTCAAGAACTGAATGGAGCTGGTTGAAGGCTTTCTTGTAGACTTTTTGTATAGCAACTGGGGAACCTTCATTGCTCGTTCAGAATTCTAGTTGGATGGTGACATCTGTTCAAAAATGGATTGTCATTGATTGATCCTGAGCTCATACACCCAACCAATGCAAGTCTTTAATTAGACCAATCTGTGATGACTTAATTCATGCAGCAAACATCAATACGCACGTCAGACATGCGGTGTCAATAAACAAGCCACTTAAGCACCAACATTAAATGGACCTTGTCAGCGCCTCAGTGATTTTCCTCTGAACTTGTCTTTTTCTTGGTCGATAATTGCCCGGAGTCATTGCTGTGTTTTCATTGAGTGTAAATCAGCATCCATATTCTCTAACTGTCCCTGATTGCAGAGGTGGGCTAAACTCTGAGCGCCGTACCATTCCAGATGTAGTCCTGATCAGGGGCGGACTGACAACTCATGGGGTCCCCGGGCAATAGGGGATCATGGGGCCCCTGTGTCCTTGCCCAAACTCAAAAAAGCCTATGAAAAAGGTACCAGGGGCATCTCATGGGGCCCCCTACTGACCACGGGCCCTCAGGCAGTGCAATGGTCAGTTTGCCCCTGGTCCTGATTTATAAAAGAAAATTGTTATAACTGTTTGATGAAAAGCTATCTTGGAGGCAGCCATTGCCCAATTCGTAGAAGCATTTTGGACCAAGCATGTCACTGTGCATGATGCTGAACAGTCATCTGCCCCAGTGCAAGACCCACTGCTAGACATTGGGTGGGAGCTGTGGTTGGGATCAGGGGCGGACTGACCATTTGGAAACTCGGGCACTGCCCGAGGGCCTGGGGTCAGTAGGGGGGCCCCATGAGATGCCCCTGGTACCTTTTTCAAAGGCTTTATTGAGTTTGGCCAAGGACACAGGGGCCCCATGATCCCCTATTGCCCGGGGGCCCCATGAGTTGTCAGTCCACCCCTGGTTGGGATACTGTTATCTTGACAGGTTTCTTTACAGTTAGAGCTGAACTCCAGCTAAAAAAAAAAAAAAATGAATAGCCCATAAATAAAAAGTAACTTTTGCTTCAGTCATCCACAAGTTTTTTTTTGGTCATTCTTTCTGTAGGATGTACTACAACAAAAGTGACATTTTAGAAAAATAAAATTCTAGCAATTTAAATTTTGCAGGTTGGCGCCTTTTTTTTTTCTTCAAAGGCTTACCCATATGAAAGAAAAATATATTTTAAAAATATTCTTCCCAAATATTTTGACATACTACAATTTTGGCCCTATTCAATACATTTCGAAATATATTTCAATAAATATATATATATATATATATATATATATATATATACATACAGCTGAAACTTGAAAAATTAGAATATCGTGCAAAAGTTCATTTATTTCAGTAATGCAACTTAAAAGGTGAAACTAATATATGAGATAGACTCATTACATGCAAAGCAAGATAGTTCAAGCCGTGATTTGTCATCATTGTGATGATTATGGCTTACAGCTCATGAAAACCCCAAATCCACAATCTCAGAAAATGAGAATATTACATGCAATCAATAAAACAAGGATTGTACATAGAACAATATCGGACCCCTGAAAAGTAGAAGCATGCATATGTACTCAGTACTTGGTCTGGGCCCCTTTTGCAGCAATTACTGCCTCAATGCGGCGTGGCATGGAAGCTATCAGCCTGTTGCACTGCTGAGGTGTTATCGAAGACCAGGATGCTTCAATAGCGGCCTTCAGCTCTTCTGCATTGTTCGGTCTCATGTCTCTCATCTTTCTCTTGGCAATGGCCCATAGATTCTCTATGGGGTTCAGGTCAGGCAAGTTTGCTGGCCAATCAAGCACAGTAATCCCACGGTCATAGAACCAGGTTTTGGTGCTTTTGGCAGTGTGGGCAGGTGCCAAGTCCTGCTGGAAAATGAAATCAGCATCTCCATAAAGCTCATCTGCGGAAGGAAGCATGAAGTTCTCCAAAATCTCCTGGTAGATGGCTGCGTTGAACCTGGACTTAATGAAGCACAGTAGACCAACACCAGCAGATGACGTGGCTCCCCAAATCAACACAGACTGTAGAAACTTCACACTGGACTTCAAGCATCTTGCAGTGTGTGCCTCTCCATTCTTCTTCCATACTCGGGGTCGTTGGGCCTCTCCATTCTTCCTCCTTACTCCGGGTCCTTGTGCCTCTCCATTCTTCCTCCATACTCGGGGTCCTTGGGCCTCTCCGTTCTTCCTCCATACTCAGGGTCCTTGGGCCTCTCCATTCTTCCTCCATACTCTGGGTCATTGGTTTCCAAATGAGATGCAAAAGCTGCTCTCATCAGAAAAGAGGACTTTGGACCACTGAGCAACAGATCAGGTCTGTTTTTCTTTAGCCCACGTAAGACGCTTCTGACGTTGTTTGTTGTTCAGAGAGCGGCTTGACAAGAGGAATACGACATTTGAAGCCCATGTACAGGATCCGTCTGTGTGTGGTGGCTCTTGATGCACTGACTCCAGCCTCAGTCCACTCCTTGTGAAAGTCCCCAACACTTTTGAATGGCCTTTTTCTGACAATCCTCTCCAGGCTGCAGTTATCCCTGCTGCTTGTGCACCTTTTTCTTCTACACTTTTCCCTTCCACATAACTTTCTATTAATGTGCTTTGATACAGCACTTTGGGAACATCCAACTTCTCTTGCAATTACCTTTTGAGGCTTTCCCTCCTTATGGAAGGTGTCAGTGATGGTTTTCTGCACAACTGTCAGGTCAGCAGTCTTTCCCATGATTGTGATTCCTACTGAACCAGACTGAGAGACCATTTAAAGGCTCAGGAACCCTTTGCAGGTGTTATGGCTTAATTAGCTGATTAGAGTGGGACACTTTGAGCCGAGAATATTGCACCTTCTCACAATATTCTCATTTTCTGAGACTGTGGATTTGGGGTTTTCATGAGCTGTAAGCCATAATCATCACAATGATGACAAATCACGGCTTGAACTATCTTGCTTTGCATGTAATGAGTCTATCTCATATATTAGTTTCACCTTTTAAGTTGCATTACTGAATAAATGAACTTTTTCACGATATTCTAATTTTTTGAGTTTCACCTGTGTATATATATATATATATATATATATATATATATATATATATATATATATATATATATATATATATATATACTCTGTTCCAGTCTTTGTTCTCCTCTGTGATCATCCAGTGGAAGTGTTGGCTGGTCAATTGGGTGTCCCAGTGGGAAAACGCCATGGAAGGACGTCCTTTGTAAAAGCCAACTAGAACAAGCCAAAGCGGTACTGGGATGATGCCTGCAGCTGTGTTGCTGGTCTGCAAGTGGATATTCCTAAAGTATCAGGCCAGACCTTGTCTATGAGGACTCATCATGGGAGCCACTGGTGACTCCAGTGGCACCTGTAACCTTTCTATTACAGATGCTTAGCTCTTAGTAGTCCTCCATGTTTCCACTCTTTTTATAAGGATTTTACTGCTGCCTATGTACTGTATACACTATAATCCATCATATGAAACTTTTTTCTTTTGGTCCAAACCCCAAAGATCCTACAAACTGTGAAAAGGTATTTGCCCCCTTCCTGATTTTTTTTTTACATATTTGTCCCACATGATTCAGATCATCAAACGAATTTTAATTTTACACAAAGATGACCAGAGTAAATAAGTAAATGCAGATTTTAAATGGTGATTTCATTTATTAAAGAAAAAAGCTGTCCAAACCTTTTTGGCTCTATGTAAAAAAAGTAATTCCCCCCTAAACACTGTGGGTACCAGGCTGTGACAGCTTGCGGCTTCACAGTCTGGTGCCCACTGAGCATGTGTGAGTCATACTGTGCCTCCTAATTGGTCCGGCAGTCCTCTGGGACCTGTGAAAGTTCCCAGGAGACTGGGAGGGTGGAGGGGACCAAACTTCCGACTCACTTTGCAGTGGCGAACTGAGCCAGATGTGGGAGCAGGTACCTGTCAAAACCAGATATCCGCTCCCCACTCCCCTCCAAAAGGTGCCAAATATGGCAGTGGAGGGGGGGGCAAATAAGCATCTGCTTTTGAATGGAACTATACTTTAATAACTGGTTGTGCCACCCTTGGCAGAATTTTTAATTCAGACACATTGGAGGGTTTTTGAGCATGAAAGACCTGTTTAAGGTCATGCCGCAGCATCTCAATCGGATTTAAGTCCAAACTTTGACTAGGCCACTACAAAACCTTAATTTTGTTTTATTTTTAGGTG